AACACAGAGCAAACCAGAACTCTAAATCGAAGTATTTCGAATAACTGAAATAATCCAGTTTCGAATTCTCCAATGCTCTGTGTTAGCTTCATTTGTGCGCAAAATATTCGTAATTGTGAGAATAAAAGTGTGAGATTTCATATCAATTCTATTGTCTTTCTTTTCAAATTCCATGCGTTTTCACAGGCTATTAATAAAACAAAAGAATATGTTACTTGGTTTTGAGGCTAACACAGAGCAAACCAGAACTCGAAATTGTAGTATTGAACACATAATATATGGCAATCCCGAGATTCTTTGCAGGCTCAAGACTGTGGACTGATTCCTGGCGACGACAACGTTTTTTGAAATAGGTGTATTTGCATTGTGCACTGCATTAGGGAAGTATGCAAAGGAACCCCAATTTTCCTCATGAATAACATGAGGGAAATTTAGAATACAAAGGATTTTTTTTTACTAAATTTCCCTCTATATAATTTATGAAAGGGAAATTTAGCATTGTCTTTCACTAAATTTCCTTTGCATGAATTAAATAGAGGGGAATTTAGTAAAAGACAAAAGAATCCTTTGTCTTTTAAATTCGGGTTTGTAAACCCCTCGGAAGACAATGGAATCCGAGGTGTTCATGGTATCATTATATTAGTCCTGTGTGGTACAACCTCCTACATTTAAGACCACCATCGTCTTAGTATATCTGATTCAACTGGAACAGTCTTGGTAACAATACATTCTGTACACTTGGAAAAACGAATACAAAAGAAATACCATGCACGATGTTACTAAAAATGTCTTCAGTTAAAGTTAAAGTATCTGAAAAGTTCTTTACCACATTATGTACACATGATAGCGTTCTATGTATATATTAAATGCCGTTTACCTGTGTATCTTCCTTTTGCAGAAGTGGTATGACAATAGTCTCCTTCACGGTTACGTGTGCCATTTTAAAACGTAGCCGTGCCTTAAAATCGAAGGGTGACAGAGGTTGAGCGTGCAATGATAGATATACATGCCAATCATTGTCTGTATGTGTGAAAGGAGGTTTTATCATTGCACGCTCAACGGTCGTCTCGCTTCGATGCAAAGGCACGGCTACCTACAATCGTTGACAAAATACCTTGGACCATACAATTATAATTTGTCTCCAGCCTAACATTTTTCTCCTTTATTTTTTCACGGTTTTCCCCCTTAGTCCCCTTTCATCAATGTTGGGTCTTGTTTTGGATGCTTGTGTACTATGGTAACATGATCATTGACATCATTGCATTTAGGGCTCAGGGGGGATGAAATTGTCTGCGGTTGTTGCTTAAAATGAGGAAATTCGCTGGAATGGTCCAAGGATTTTGTCAACGATTGTAGTGTAAGATGGCGCAGGGAACCGTGAAGAAGACTATTCTTCTTATTATAGCCAGACGCGTAGCATATACGCACGTGCGTTGTACTAGTGACAAGGAAATAGTCGCGATTTGATGYTTTTTATATGCTCTGTAAATTATTTCGCAATACTCCAGTTTCGAGTTCATAGCGAATAACCGCTGCTTTATTTGACAACAGATTCTCTTGCGCAAAGACCTGACCAAACACAAAAGAGAGCACGAGAAAATGTCGTTATTACAATAGCCTTGAAAATTTGCATTTTCCCCGAGTTGAGACTAACCCTGTATTCCCATAAAACCTAAGGTACGAACCTTCTGTCAGCGCTATTGTACTTACAACATTTTCGCGTGCTTTCTTTTGTATGTGTTTGGTAAGTTCTTTGCGTTATTGAATCTGCTGTCAACAAAAACAGCGGTTATTCGCTTGGAATTCGAAAATGGAGTGTTTCCTAGGGGAAGACCCCAGGCCCCCCTAATGCTCCCATCTTCGCGGTCGTTAGCCCCATGTGCGTAATAGCCAAAAAGTCCACGCCACGTGCCTAATTGCTTTTCGTCAAAATCTTTCAAAACCATTCTTTTTTCTCATTCTATTCCAGCTGTTCCTGGTTCAATAGCTTTAGCCAACAGCGGCCTTCTGGGCCCAGTTATAGGAAAACTATGCGATCATTTTGGATCTCGGAAAATCTTATTGCTGGGAAGTCTGGTATCTGCAAGTGGACTTGTTGCTTCTTCGTTTGTACCAAACATTGGCTTACTGATTGTAACGTTTGGAATAGTTGTAGGCTCAGCAATTTGTCTGGTTTACTTTAGCACAATGGTAGCTGTTCCAATGTATTTCGACAAATATAAATTCGAAGCAACATCAATAGTATCAGTGGGGTGCGGGTCGTCCCTCTTGGTTATGACTCCTATTGTACAAAATTTAAACCAAGCTTTGGACTGGAGAGGGTCGATGCTCGCCATGGCTGGATTTTCTTTTATTCCTTTCGCAGTATCTCTTCTGATGCGCTCGAAGACTCAATTGGAGACTATC